TCCCTGTAGTCTTTGTTGTTTATGCCAAATGAGAGGAGTACTTTGTTGGTTTCGCTACAGGTTTTAGTTTTCCTGACGATCTGGTTGGCATGTTTAAATTGGGCTTCAGGATTGATGGGTCTGGGTAATCTTTTAAGGTTGGAGTCTACTAAAATAATTATTGATTTGTTGGGGGTGAGGTGCCAACTAGCTAGTTTGTTGCTCTGGTGGTTGTGAGTGGTCATTAAGGATATGGGTCTGGTTGTTATTGGTTTGAGTGAGGTTTAGGTCAACTGAGGATGTGGGTTCTTGGGAGTCATGGATTCGGTTTGGTATAAGTTTAATGATTTTGTCATGTGTATGTTGTGAGTGTAAGCGGGGCTCAGATTCCCCTTTGGTTGAGTGATCTATTCCTTCTTCTTTCTCTGTGTTAGGTGGGTATAATCCGGATGTGGGGATCTCTTGTGTTTGGTAACTGTCCTTTGTTCTATTTGGGTCATGTGGGGATGGACTTTGTTGTGGTTGTGGAGGTTGGTTAGTTGTTAGCGTTGGTTTGGTGCGTGTTTCTGTTATTATTTTCCTGACTATTGCTAAGGTTGTTTGTTTGATTTGGTTAATTTATTTTTGTGCCTTCCTGGTGGCTCCATTAAGGATCCATTGTAGTTGGGGTTTTTTTTGGTGCATGTTGGAGTTCTGTAAGTAGCAGTACTCCTTCTGTTTGTTCTTGATTTGTAAGGGTTTTTAGATGTTGAGTTAGGATGAATTTGACAGCAATTTCTGTCCATTCCATTAAGGTTCTGTTTTTGTCTGGCATTTTGGGGTGCTTTTTTCAAAGAGAAAAGAGTTGATCCAATTGATTTTTGAGAAATACAGGAGTTGTGTTAATTAATTTTTGAAAGAGAGCAAGAAAAGAGAGTCACAGTTGTTTGGAAGTGAGTATATTTTTAATTCCAAAGGTGTTGTTTTTTTATTTAAGATGTACTTTCTCAACCAGAAGGTTTATTTGGAAGAGCTATTATTCTTTTAGATAAAGCTATTGTTAGTGGAATGTAACCAGATCTTCTGGTTACAAAGGTCCCCGTTTCAGTTATTTAATTGATGGAAGTGTTTATGTGGAAATTCAATTTAGGGGTTAGAGTTCCGTTAAATTGGTAAATAAATTGTTAATATCCAGGATGGAGAGTTTCTCTCAGTGTGGGAGGGGCTTTTTGTTTATTGTTTAATTTTGTAAATTGTTACTATGTTATTCTGGAGTTTTAAGGTGTTTGTTTGATAGTTTATTTTATTTATTTTGTTTTTAATTGGAGTGAATCCATAGTAAAGGGTACAGGTATTGACTCAGGGGTTCAAAAGAGTGGGTTTATCTGCAACTCGTTGTTTTAATTAGTGGGTAGTTATTAAAGATGATTATTTTAGGCTTCTCTCTTTTTAGTTTTCTGGTTTAATAGCGCTATTAGAACCGGAGCGGCAGAACTACCTTGGTTCTAAGTCATATCTAAAGTTGAGCAGAATTTCAGAACTTAATCATCAGTGGTGTGCCGTCGGCTCTAGCGGACGTTTCGGCCGTTCACCATATGTCCTCGCCGAGCAGTGGCCCCTCGAGGTGATCAAATCTCGAGGTTAAATTCTGTGTCCGATTATGAGGTGATTTTGGTGATATTGATAAAGGAGTGGAGCAGCATGTGGAAGCATAAGAAATTGGATTCCTATTTAAAGTCACGGTTTTAAAAGAGTGTTTTTCGTTTTTTATTCAGAGCGGGTTCCTTGTTTTGGAGTTCTTTTGGGAGTTGAGAGATGTTTTGTTACTCTAAGCAACTGTAAATGGTTGCCATTGATTTCAGTTGGGTAACAGTTTTCAGTTTGGAGAGGGGAGAGAGAGAGCGTGTGGAGATGGACTGGAGTGGGGAAACAATCGGTGGTTGTTTTAAAGAGTTTGAATCTTCTAAGTTTTTCTAGGATTTTAAGAGAATAAAATACTATTGAGAGAGTTTGTTGCAATTATTCTACAGTGCAATCCTGAAATGTTTTATAGTATTAATTGCAGGAGTTTTGTTTAAAGTACAGGTATTCAGAAGGTTTACCGTGTTTATTTCGTTCAAAGAAACTGAGAAATTTGTCCAATTAAAAAGTTATTTAATGGGTTATAAATTATGAATTTGTTGTTAATTATTAAGACTACGGTGGGTGAATCAAAATGTTCGGCTTGGTGTTCTTATTTATTTTTGCACTATTTTAATTATTTAAAAAATAGGGTGCTTTAAAGTGATTATTTCATTTTGAGGTTGAAAGTAATTAATCAAAAGGTAGTTTTATTTTTAAAATAATTAGTTCACTTAAAATGGCTGTTTTATTAAAGTTAAATGTAAATTGGTTGGTTTGCGGCATTTAAAATGTCGGACCGGGTTTGTGGTACCGTTTTATCTAATCTAATTTCAAAAATAGGTTCAAAAGGATTTTATTTCTTAGTGTTATTTTAGAAAACAGAAGGATGGAGAGTTTGAGTCAGGCTGTTTAGTGGACCTTATATTATATAATTATTAAGCTGTGTGATGCTGGGTTGCGTATTTAAAGATGGTGGATGGGTCAACAATAATTTTGGTTCTCAATAAAATCTTTAATATATGTTTTTAGACTTTTGGAGGGTGAAAAAATAAAAATGGGAGCTTGTAGGTAGTGTAACAGACTTTCAAAATGGGTTTATCTAATTTGGAGGGGGAAGTGTGTGGTTCCAATGTGGGGAATGATGACGTCCTCCTTAATCTATTGGAGTGAGTTACTGAGTTGTGTGTGGGGGGGACTAATCCTCTAAAAAACTGTATTTTTAAGAATCTTGAGTCTTAAAAACAATACAGAATGAGAACAGAACAGCTTTCTGTTCTTATTAATCTTCACAGTGTTAGGGTACGGTAGGGATAGGGTTAGAGTCCCATTTGACGGCGTTTCAACTGAAGTCCTGTAGGGTTAGAGTCCTAGTTAAACGGCATTTTAACTAAAGTCCTAAAGAGTTAGAGTCCCAGTTGACAGTGTTTCAACTAAATTCTACAGGAGAGGTATTTTAGAGCCCCTCTCTGGATGAAGATCCTTGCGTAGGCAGGGAATTTGTGTGTGTGTGTGTGTGTGTGTGTGTGTGTGTGTGTGTTCGTACGTGCGAGTGTGAATGGTGCTTAATTCTCTGAATGTAAAGCTTCCTATTCTCGACATTCTTCAGGGGGCACTAAGTGCTCATTTGATCAAAATACAAAGTCATATCAAGTACTAAAATTATGGGAAGACTGTGGTGCTTTTATTCTTTTTTCCCACCTAAAGAAAGAAAGTAACTATCTAAGGGAAGATAGTGGGTGGTTTTTTTTTTCTAGCATTTCTACACTTTCAAAGAAAGAAAGCCAGTTGAGAGACGTCTCACTGAAATAAAAAACATGGGAACAACTTTTTTGCATGCTCAAAAGGGAATAATGACTTTCCTAAAGGGGGAGAAACTGAAATGTGGTAAAACTAAATAAAAATCATTCTCCTCAGAGAACAATGCTTTAATGTATTGTGTCATAATTAGATTATAACACCAACTTGGTGCCATGATCCTTTGGCTGTATATCTGGAGGGGTCAGGGGTCAGAGTAAGGTACCGACCTGGACATTATCCAGCTTCATATCTCTCTTATGCCTTGAGAGGAGGGCTGCCCACTGGCTTCACAGTTTTCAGCACCGAGATCAACAAATTTAGAGTAATCTATTGTTCTCTGGTGAGAAGTTAACTCAGACTAAGTTAACATAAACTTACATTCTACACTTTAAAATATAATATTGTAAAGGATAAAAGAGACTACAGACTAACATGTTTCAGGTTTACATGTGTTTGAATAAGGAAATGATTTATGACTTCTTAAAATTTTGGGTAATTGTCATGATTTGGTGTTGGTGGTGAGGAAGACGCAGACAGAGCCCAGGGTGTAGATGAATGAAGATGAATATTTAATGTTGAGAAGCTCACAACAGTCCAGGAACTGGCAGCATGGCAGAAACGGAGGCTAAGCTCATACCGGTAGCAACAGAGCAGCTGGAACTAGAGCTAACGTCGACTCAGGACAAACAGCTCATCTGACGACGACTAATAGTACAGACTCTCAGGACTTAACGGTTCAACTAAGTAGACTCACTAAAGGTAAACAACGAACAACATACGACAAGGCACACAGACAACAGGTGGGACTAAATACACAGGGAGGGTAATCACAAAAACGAGACAGCTGGGATCAATCAACAGAGAAGACAGGACAGAGACTCACAGGGAAACAGGACTAAACACAGAAAACCTCAAAAATAACTACACAGAAAAACACGGATCACAACAGTGATAAGTGGCTAAAAACTATACAGCCGCAAGAAAGAAAAGATATATAGAACATATTTATACAAAAAACACAGAAAGACAGACAAACCCTAATCTACTCCTATTTGCTTCTTTCCTTTTTTCCTCTGTCTGAACCTAATTTATGGGTTAATTTAGCAGTCTTAAACACATAAGTTGGATCAGATCTCTCTTAGCTGACCTATATTTGAATTTGCATGTGTAAAAGCACATGTGAATTTATAAATGGTTAGATCAGTACAATGTTGTGTTATGTAGTGCAGTTTAAGAAAAACCCATAAAGCCAAATGTGTCACAATTAAATATATCAAGATGACCCAAAATGTATTTGCATGTGTAAATTTCTAATATATGTTACAATTAATTTGTGAAACAAATGAATCTATTTTACCCCAACCAATAGATAATACATTATCTTTATTTTATTAAATTAATTTATATTTATATTTAAATGTTTTTGTGAGGTGTTTTAAGAGTTTATTATATGTACCTCATTTTAAATTTGAGCATCTGTTCAAACTAAAAAAGAAACAAACTAAAAAAAACAACTTCTGATTCTATTGGAAAAATAGAAAATGCTAAATAAATTCAAACTTAATTCGTTCCCGTCTGAATTTATTGTGTTATTATACCACCTTGGAAAGTGAGTGTATCATTATTAGTCCAACGTTTAAATGAGGATTATAACAAACAGGTTCTGAACAGAACCTCTTTGTGTTGGTTGACATTAGCGACACTTTGTGGTAAAACTGTGAAGGTGCACCACTGCGCCTTGGCGAGGTTGGAGGCTCGGAAGTGAAGCACAGCGCCATCTTGTGAGTCTGGCTGGTAAAACCGTCTGAGTAACGAGGAAATTGTTAGAAATCATTGTACACGCATCCTTCCGCGAACAGAGCGGATGGCTATTTTGGTGAAGACCATGTCCTCCGGCGAGTGAAACAATATATCCCCCTCAGTTTGAAGCCAACGGTCAACGTGACACCGCTCAGCCAAACCAGCCGGATGCAGAGTAAAAAATCTGGTAGGAAGTGGACCACCGCAAAGGAAGCGTGTTGTTGCACGTTGCAGAGAAAATGTTAGCTGGCGATAGATAAATTTGAGGGGACATTTTGTTTGGGAAAGGTCTCGGCACAGAGCAACGGGTCTTCCCGGTGAACAGAATGCTTCTGTGGCTAGCAGGCACTTGACTGGTTTGCTGCTAGCTAAATTTAGCATCTCCAACTCCTGAACCGGACTATTTTCTTCCCATTGAAACCTCATTTTTAAAGACAAATACCGGTAATATATTTCTCAGAACCCCCTTTTTGTCTTTTAAAATCAAGAATGTTCGTTTGCGTCTCTTTAATTAAGTTAATTAAGTGGTAATGCACTTGCTAACTGCTCTGTAGCTCATCTGTTATCGGTGTTATCAGACGGCTAGTAAACTATATCAGCTTTGGTCTAATTTTCTGATTATTGTATTATTTTACCCATTAAAACATACATGTATATTGTCGCTCGTTAAATGAAAGTCTTCCATGTTTAAGGTTGATACAGAAGAGCTTATCTATTAGTCATTAATGTCAGATTTTTCGACACCATGCTGCCTTTCATGCATGCAAATCCGTACTGAAATATGTATTTACATCTCTATAATTAAGTGTTAATGCACTTGCAGCTGATTATTGCTCTGTAGCTGATTACTGTATTATTTTGCACATTAATCCATGCATGTATATTGTTGCTCATTAAATTAAAGTTTTAAATGTTTACGGTTGATACAGAAGAACAAATCCATTAGTCGTTAATGTCTCAAACTCCAGATTTGTAGTGCTTAGAAAGGTATTTTAAGACACACCCACTCAAGGCAGTGCAAGATTGTTATTTGGAAGTACAATGGCACATAAAACCAAATAAAATATGTGAAATATGCTTTTGCATTGGTATTCAACCCTCCTGGGTCGTTTTATTTGTACTTATGTTACAATTAGGGCTTCAACATATATACAAATTTGTGTATTCTACCAGCTCTGTACGTCGGTAAACTAAATTCAATTTTGCAAATTCATGACAAGTGCATCTTCTTCCACGTTTTGTGGTATTCCCCGTTTGACTTGATATCAACTTCTGCTCGTTTACCTTCATATTTGCAGGGCAATGGATTTTCCCGGCCACTTTGAGCAGATCTTCCAGCAGCTCAACTATCAGCGGATCCATGGCCAGCTGTGCGATTGTGTCATTGTGGTGGGCAGCCGACACTTTAAGGCTCACCGCTCGGTGCTGGCGGCCTGCAGCACCCACTTCAGAGCACTGTTCACTGTTGCGGAGGGAGACGCCAGCATGAACATGATCCAGCTGGACAGCGAGGTTTGGACTTAATCCATAACAGCATCGCCGATTATTATTGCGTCATAATGAAACCGCGTTTGATTTGCAGGTGGTGACGTCAGAAGCTTTCGCTGCTCTGGTGGACATGATGTACACGTCGACACTGATGCTGGGGGAGAGCAATGTCATGGATATTCTTCTTGCTGCTTCGCACCTGCACCTGAACAATGTGGTGAAAGCCTGCAAACACTACCTGACCACACGGACGCTGCCCCTGTCCCCCTCGTCAGACAGGCCCTCCCATCACCACCCTCAACAGGAGCAGCAGAGACACAGGCAGCAGCAGCAGCAGGTGGGGGATTTGGGAGCTAACGCTAACCTCACAGCTTCAGCTGCGACGTCCAAGCTGCAGCGCTCCTTCTTGCTGCAGCAGCTTGGACTCAGCCTGGTGAGCTCTGCTCTGGGAGGCATGGAGGAAGATGGCGTGGGCAGCAGAGGGGTCGATCAGAGAGCCTCTTTCCCCATGCGGCGCTTCCACAAACGCAAACCTCCTCTAGGGATGGGGCTTTCAGAGGAAAGACCCAGACAGAGGCAGCGGCCCTCGGCCCCCAACCGGGGTCTGTTGGTAGAGAGTGGGGTTAACGCGGAGAGAGAGGACGGAGCGCTTCTGTCACCTGACTCCCACAAGATGGGAGATGAATCCAAGCTAGACGGTGCGATCACAGGGATAGTGTCAACGCCTCAGGATGACCCCCAGATGCCGAGTCAGTCAGACAGCGGGCACTGTGAGGAAGAGAGGATGCAGGGAAGGGTGGGCAAGGAGGAGGACATCAGTGATCATGACCATCAGGATGATGAAAGAGTTGGGGTGAAGATGAAGTCAGGAACAGGGGATGAAGAGACTGAAGAGGAGGAGCAGAAGGTAAAGAGATGATATCAAATAACAATAAGTCATGGCGTGTTCTGTGTGATTATTCTGATTGTTTCATTTTGTTTAGATACTCTAGTCATCAGCATGAACTCCATTTAATTTAGGCTACTTGACATAACTTGGTGTTCTGACAGGACTTTAATCCTAAACACATAAAAGTAGCTCTTCTTGGTTAAAGCAGAGTAGAAAATCTGTAAACTGTGCTTTTAAGCACAGTCTGTGTCTTGAGACCCACCGTTATATGTGGGCCACATCTGATGTGAGCCCCTGATGCCCACATCAGGGGCAGCAGCCCAGGGGCCCACAAAGTTTAATTTCTTTTTTTTTTTTTTAAACGCACGTTTTGGAAACTTTGTACTTCATATAAAACTCATAGGCCAATATCAGATGAATGTATTAATATTTAGGGATTTTTATCAATATAAACAACGTTGAAATATTTGAATATTATAAAGTTGTAGTAAATTTCATTGTGAACAATGTGAAACTATTGGCCAGGGATCAGATCATACCCGGTGATGTATAGGACTACATATTAATCTGCTGTAATTACTATCTGTAGTGGATGAGGTATCAAAACTGGCTCCATCCCAGGTGCCCGCATCCTTGTAAATCCGGCCCTCCAGGGGGGAATGTATATAATTAAGGTTGTATGTATAATGTACATTTTTAAGCTGTAAGTCATACAGTCAGGTTAAACCTGAAAAAGTACATATACACTTTTGCCCGGCAACGTAGCTTCATTCCACATATTTTTTTTTTTTCATTATTCAGGTGGTCGTCAAGCGTGAGCCGCTAAGTTCGCCGGAGCCAGCGGACGAAAACAGCGACGTGACATCGCAGGCAGAAGGCAGCGACCCGGCCGAGCCCGGGTGTCGGGAGGAAGAGGAGAAGGTGGAGCTGAGCCCAGAGAGCAGCGACCGCAGCTTTACCTCTGACCCCCAGCCCAGCTCGCAGCTGCTGCTCAAGAGCAGCATGGCCGGAGGAGCCGGCGTCTCTGCAGGCTATGGCTGCAGTACCGCTCTGAAAAGCAAACCCGGTTTTAGCATCCCCAGCTTCCTTGGACCGAAGGATTTCAGGAGTGGCAGGTCGGGGTTGGTGGCTGGAGAAGATGGTCTTCCCAACACGACGACTGGAGGCGCACATCACTTCCTTCTGAGACAGGAAACGGCCACGCCTTCGGGCTCTGCCTCGTCCTCTGCTCTGCAGTCTGGAACACTCGGCGCTGAGAGCAGAAACAGTTTCGGAGATAACCTGCAGCCGGACTCTCTGTTCCTCCGACCACTGCATGACAGTTTAGGAAACAGTAGAGCCAGTGGAGGGGGAGCCGGCGGGGGACGGGGAGGTGTAGATCCCTTCGCCTTGGACTTCCAGCGGTCCAGTCTGGGCTTTCACTCACTGGGCCGCCCCTCAACCGGAGCAGGAGGAGCAACTGCAAACAGTCTGGGTTATCCAAGCTACAGGCGCATCGCTCCAAAAATGACTCCAGGGATGGGCGGAGAAGAAGCTGTAGCAGGGATTCTTCAGGATGCCTCTTCCTCCTCCTCCTCCTCCAGCCTGGCCGGTCCTCTGCTCCTTAACGAAAGCGGCGGGTATGAGATGAACAGCGGACGGCCCACCTCCCTCCCACCACAGCTCACACGGGCGTCGGCCGACGTCCTGTCGAAATGCAAGAAGGCGCTGTCAGAGCACAACGTCCTGGTGGTGGAAGGGGCTCGGAAATATGCTTGCAAGATCTGCTGCAAAACTTTTCTCACTCTGACTGACTGCAAGAAACACATCCGAGTCCACACGGGAGAGAAGCCCTACGCGTGTCTGAAGTGTGGGAAACGTTTCAGCCAATCCTCGCACCTGTACAAGCATTCCAAGACCACATGTCTGCGTTGGCAGAACAGTAACATGTCCAGCGCGCTGCTCTAGAACGACTTCAGGGGTTGCAGGGGGGGAATAAGCCGTTGCAATCAGCGACGGGCTCAGTTTTAATTCATATAGTCTCACTTATTTTTTTGTCAGGATTGTTGGATCATATCATTTGCTTTTTTCTAATAAATCAGTCCTGATATCTGACCAAACATAAGGATGATTTTGTTATCATATATATTGTTTCTGCTCTTCTAGCTCTCAACTTGTTTTTAAGGCTTTATTCTTAAAAAAAAAAAAATATATATATATATATATAAATAGGTTTGATTCATGGCACATTGCTGTGCATACTCTCCTGTATAAATATCAGGAGAGTATGATAAAAATGTCTTTTTTCGTAGGTTTAGATATCAGAACTTAAAACGCGTTAAAACTATTTGGTTTAAAAATAATTTGGTCTGCTCTGATGTTTCCAAGATTTTAAGGAGGACTTTGATTTACAGCCTTCACCTCTGATCAACTCTTCCCACACTCTAAGTCCATACTTACTGAGTCTTGTCGCATGTACAGCGGTCTGTAGCCTTCCATACAGCAGCCTGCAAAGACTTTATACCTCCTGAACCTTTTACATCTTGTAAATCTACAACCACTATCCTTACTTTATTGGGATTTTGTGTGGTTAGAAACAAAGAAGTCATATTTGTGAAACAGAAGTTAAATAACTTTTTTAACACGTTTTACTAGTGAAAGTCTTTGTTGCGTGCATTAATATAAGTTAAGCATTGTTCAGGTTTTTGTTTTGTCACTGTTTTGTCATAGTGATATTTATGAAGTGCAGAACTAATTGTTGTACAGTCAAAAGCTTGACCGATCTGAACTGTTGAATCAGCACCGACCTCCAGTTCCCTTTGTTTCCATTTGCAGATGATGGATTGAACAGAGCTCTAAGATGTCTAAAGCTTCGGATATCGTTTTATGACCAAACTGCTTTAAACTTCTCCACAGATTTCTCCCTGACCGGTTTTCTATATTTGGTCATGATTTTATTGCTTCACTAATGTTCTCTAACAAAACCTCTGAAGCCTTCACAGAACAGCAGCTGCATTTATCTGGACATTAAGTTACACCCAGATGAACCCTATTTAATAATTAGATAAATTCAGAAGGCAAATTGGCTGCACTGCATTTATTTAGGAGTATCAAAATAAAGCGCACTGAATAAAAATGCACCTCACATGTCAAAGTTTATCACCACTTGGTGTTAATTAGTCACATAAATCCCAATAAGCACGTTGAAGTTTTGTGGCTCTAAGGTTTAAATGTTGGAATCTTCAAGGGGTATGAATACTTTTTGAAAGCGCTGTAGACTTTGGAGAAAGTACATGTGCTCTGTGTGCCAGATATTTATGTGTGAACATGAAGGTGGAATATATGAAAGAGCTAAATTTACTTGTTGAAAGTTTCAACAACAGGAGAAAACTGTACAGTCAACAGCTAATATGAGTGGATTTTAGCGGCTCACTTACAAGAACAGTGGCTGTTAAAGCATTTCTACTTGATTATCTCTTGATAATCGCTAATTGATTATGTAGTCATATCCATTCCCAAAACTGAGTTAATACCCAACTTTTCTTTTAGATTTAAAGATTGTTTTGCTTTTACTAGGATTTGCAGTTCAGTGTCAATCATTGATTTGTTTGAGAAACTGAAAACTTTACATTTCTCTCTGTCAAGTCTCAGCAGTTTGTGTTGGACAGATTTACTTCAGAGCAAAGTTACATTGTAAAACAAGTACTAACTAATATAAAGTATTAGTGGTGCCATTTTTATGAGTTTCTCTGGAAACCCCACTGTAAATAGATTATTTTAGTGTAAAAAAAATTCCCACTTTATTTATATTGTTGTTTATGACTAATGTACAAAAGTTGAGCTGACATCCCAAAAAAAAAAAAAAGCATCACTGCATGATGCTGTGATGTAATGCTGTATTTACTGATTTAAATGTTTTTTTTTTGTTTGTTTGTTTGTTTGTTTTTTTGGATTGGAATTTATTGCATCTTTTCATGGATACTTTGGAAAAGAAGTACATTTCTCACAAATCATCTCAAATCATTCACATGATATCTCTGTTACTGTACTAGAAGTCATTTTTTAAAAACACTCCTCTCTTTTTTCAGTTCTTGAAACGTAATCAAAGAGCTTAGACAAATCAATCAAGTCTTTGTTATGTATAACTAATATGTTTTCTGGATTGCTAAGATGTGCATAATTTATTGATCCAACTTGTCCGAATCTATTGTGAGGCAGTTAGGGGTCGGTATGACGTTCTCATGGTATAAATATTTTCAGTAGAAAAACAGTTTCAAGGTTTCAACTCCACCCAGCTCATTTCTGTACAGCTGTAGCTGTAAAATAATGTTACCTTAATCAGAGTGATGTAGATTTCACGCATTCTCTATTTTCTTTTTTTTTTTAAGGTTTTTATGTAATAACTGGAGTTATTTAGATTATTTAATAACAGCTGACTGTGTTTTCCGTGTAGGCCAGGACAAAGTGTTGCCGTCTTCTTTCAGCCAGCTGATCAGCAGTGCTCTACAGCAGCCAGAGAAAACTCTGCTCACTTCAACACTTTCTTTCTTTCTGAGTTTGCGTCATAGAAACTATAAGTTAGAGGGGAAAAAAAGATTTGTGGATACGTTGCCACTGTTTAAAGCCTCAGTCTACCTCGTTAACAGGAAACCGCTCCATCGCTGCGTTTATGCTCGGCGTCATAACCAAACGTTCGGCCTCACGTTGTTTTTTTGAGTTTTGGGGATTTTCCAGCAGGCAGGCAATTATACAGGTTGTCAACTCATCCACAAAAGTTAAGTTAGTGAAGTACTATTTCACAGTTAATATTTTGGAAACAAGTATATTTCTTCATTAATTTTTTTTTTTTTAAACATTTGCATCCAACGTGCTTAGATCTAATACTTTATATTTACTGTCATTTACAATTTAAAAGAAACAAACTTGCTGAGAAGAACTATCTGACTATCATAGATTGATTTATGTCAGTTTGGCTTCTTCTGTTGGTTTTACATAAGAGTGATGTCATTGGACTAGACTGTTTATTGTACAGTTCTGTTTTAGTGAATTAAAAAAACAAAAACAAACATGTCTGTCTGTCTATATTCTTAATCACTGGATGTGTTGTGACTTTGGTCATTGACTTTAAACTGGTCGGCATCTTTTAATAAAGTCGTTACACTGTCAGCTTGTACAGTTAAACATTTTTATTTAATTTCATGAGGCATATTGGCACCTTGTTACAGAAGAAAAACCTTGTTTTAAAAAATGACGTTAACACAAATTGTCAGATTAAATGTTCCTGAGATATAATCCAGTGGTGACGTTGCTGTTTGGTGTGTCCGTTTAAAGTGGCAAGTGATGGTTAAATGTATGATGTAACTCAGTCACATTCTTGGGAAAAAACTGTGTTCTTGTGAGAAATAAAGAGGTGATGAAGTGAAGATCTCCCTCTAAACTACTTTCACTTGTTATTAATCCTACTGGCGTTTTTTCCCCCCCTAGCAGTTGAATTAATGGTTCATAACCTTTCAAAATAAAGCACCTACTGTACTTCCTCTAGTTTTAATATTGCAAATTTGTGAATTAGACTTTAGTAAAATGCCGTACGCTCTCCAGCTTTAAAAGGCTGAGTAATTGTTTGTTTTCCTAAAAGTGAAAACATTTATTTTTATTTGCTGTTACCATAAAATGGTAAAATCATTGTCTCTGGTGTGTGAGAAGGTTGTAAAATATGTTGGATTTGTTGTACAGACTGAATAAAACAATGGAGCTCTGTTGGGCTTTTTTTTTTTTTTGTGAAATTCTTATTTAATATTCTATAGTTAAACTCAACAGATATGAACTAATACCAGAAATTCTGAGCAAACCTGGAAAAGTCTCATTTGGATTCAGAAGAAAAACAAAGAAATTCTGAAACAGACTTTTTACATTTATTTGTTTCAACATCCACTTTCTTAATCACATCACAACTTTAGTATTTGTCTAATTTTAGCAATTATTTGTATTTTGTAGATACTGAAAGATAAATCCACACTCATTTCACACTTTGAAAAGGGATATTTCACTGCTTTTCTGGCATTTAGACCCTCTGATATCAAGGTCTTAAACCTGCATAATTTTTTTTAGCTTTGCGCAAAACTTTAAATTTATGTAACAAAACAAGGCGTTTTGTTACATGATCTCTTTGGCTCCAGACTTATTGATTCATGACCCTAAGTGGGGTCCCGATCCCCACTTTGGGAGAGCTAAAGGAGAGCTGATCCAAGCTAAAGCAGATAAACAAAGATGCAGTGCATTTATCTGGACAATTGCGTAGTCAAATTGGAAGTCATACTCTGGGTTGTGTTGTTTCATGATTTATGACATTTTAGTTAAATATTTCTTACACAAAAGAGAAGAATGCAATAAAATAAACTGAGTTTAAAACAGCGGAAGTATTTCAATGGAAAAGTTGAAGTTCTCCAAAACTGAGATTCTCTGGAGCAAGTCTGTCCTCACAGCTTCAGCTCTTTGATCATTGGCTGGCTCCCCAGGCCAAGCAGGAGGTTGTTTGCTGCCAGGGCAGACATGGTGTTACGGGTGCTGTAGGACGCACTTGCAATGTGTGGAAGAATCACTGCAGAAGAAAGTTAAGACATATGATTGACAGTAAGTAGTGAGAGCAATGAGAGTAATCAGAGCTGACTGCTTTGACAAACTCACCGCAGTTTTTGAGAGTAAAGAGTGGGTGGGTGGTGGGCAGGGGCTCAGGAACGGTGACGTCTAATCCAGCTCCGGCTATCTGCCCAGTGGACAGAGCTTCATACAAGTCCTCTTGATTTACAACCCCTCCTCTAATGTGGCAAAAATGCAGTATTTACTGACAGAAACCAACATGGACAATTGATTTGATTATTAAAAGCTTTAGAACACCCTTGTACACACTATATTTATGGATTGTTGCGTACTGCTTGTTCTGAGGTCACTTGGTGTGTGTTGGTGAATAACATTGGGGTACCTGCTGGTGTTGATGAAGATGGAGGTGTTTTTCATTTTTGAGAAAAGGTTCTTGTTGCAGATCTCTTTGGTCTCCGGTGTTAAAGCACAGCATATCGACAGGAAATCTGACTGCTTTGCCAGCTCATCCAGTGTGACTTGAAGAACAAACAGCATGAAAATCACAATACTGTATATTATACAATTGACTGATGTAAAAACAAATTAATGCAGTCCCATTTATGTATCTATCATTATATTTAGACAGAGAAAACTTATGGGAAAGTACCTTAGCCTTAGACAAACTAAAACTCTACATTCTCCTACGGTCTCCAGTCCATTCCAAATAAAAGCACCACATGCTTGCTACTGGAGTGTTTTCATCAGAAGGTTTTTTTAAATATAGGACATATGGTGGGATTACAAAGGGTGGGCACACAACCACCAGATGAAAATGTATTGCCTTGAACAAGTTTTCTATTGCTTTCATACATCTGTACGCAATGAACAGTTGGCGTCTAAGCTCGCTAAGCATGAGGAGAGAATTTCACATGTTTTGTGTCAGACTGCACTGTATTTTCTGCATTTTGATTTTCTTGTGCAATTTACACCAAGGTGACATAGTTCTATCTCCACTTAAGGAATTGCTTGCTAAGCGATATTGGAAAATGAAAAAAGGCAAAACAAATGACTGTAATGAAAATGAAAAGCTGCAACTTTTGCATTTAAACAGAAACCAGTGCTTCTTTTACACAGGTATCACTCGTTAGCTTGTGTGGCAACACTCCAGGTACAGCTCCAAATGAATTCAATTTGAAATGCATTGCACAGAACCAGATCTCTACCTTCACAGTACTCTTTCTCCATAAGAAGGAGAAAGTAAATAATATTCAATCATATTCAAAGTAGGGAAAACTTAATTTACTGTTCTTCATAATGCTTAGTCTCCTTTTTTTTTTTTTTTTTTTTTTTTGCAAATCTCCAGTCCAAAGGCTTGAGGTATTACTAAGAAAAATACTTTGAAAAAAAATCCTAAAGTGACAACAGGCTGTAAGTGCCAGTGATCCACATATTACCATATTCAGCATTGATGGCCTTGGCCAACTCAGGTCTTGGAGCCACATCTGTGTAGATGAACTTTTTTACTTTGAAAGGTGCCAGCCGCTCTGCAATAGCCACACCTGGACAGCAACCAGAAGAAAACATCAACATGATGGGTATGGTGATTGTGAGATGATCTTATGTAAATTCATTGTGTTACCTATTCTTCCAAGTCCAAGAATTCCCACAGTGCTGTTGGCCAGCTCGTATCCACACAGCCACAGAGTTCTCCATGTGCCCCAGCCGCCGCTGACACAAGTTGCAGTGGGAGATGGTTGTTTAAATTTGACTTAAATGAACTTGGGGATATTTTCTAAAAAGATGTGTGCTGTGTGCACGAGCTTACGTTTTTGCCTCATGAGTCGCCTCTATGAGTCTCCTGGATGTTGCAAGCAGCAGAGCTACCGTTAACTCTGCAACTGCATCTGTCAGGACCTCAGGGGTGTAACCTACACGGATTCCTCTGGTGAGAGACACAAATATACACAATTACATGAGCATGTTTCAGTAAAATAAATCCCACAAAATGTATACATATAAGGACCTAACAATTAAATGTGTTACTTAAGGAAACTAGCAGATCACCTTTTCTTCAGCTCCTCCAAAGATAAATGATCAAACCCCACTGACATAGTACTGATGACCTTCAGGTTTGAACCTAAAGGAAAAACACCATTGATACAGAACCACCATGCATTTGTTTATGGATTCTATAGTGCCTTGCAAAATGATCGGTAGCCATTGAATCAGCCATAGATCAGAGATAAAGATGTAGGTGTAGCAGAGTTAGGGAACTTTAAAGCAGCGCTATTTTAAAACAATATCTAACAATTTGAGCAACTCATGTAGTACTGTTCAATTTATCACCATGAAATAGAAAGAGGAAAGCACAGCTCCAAATCAATCAAAATATGGTTCTCAATCTCTGATGACAGGCCAATCAATGACAAGTTTGTAACATGGAAATTTGGGAAAAAGTATGACGGATTTAAATACTTTTGCATACCTGCAGCATCCAACAATTCTGCATCAATCTTTTCAGTCAGCACGCAGAGGAGACCATCCACACCTTTCACTTTCTGAAGCAGCTCTTTCCTCGGCACAGGGACGTCATCCGAGTCCCACAGCTCAAACTGCACCCTGTGTGAAGAGGACGCAAAGCAGCTACTGAGGTTCTCAGAGTAGTGCATCAAACACCACTCTGAGATTTTACTGATAATCTCCTATTTTGATGTAAATAAGATGTAACTGAGGCATATTAGTTATGAAATACATTGAAACATTCAGCAATGCTGTGAGGAAATATTATTTCAGGTACCATATCTTTATCTTATTAATCTGAAGGTAACCAATAGAAGTCCTCCTGTCTGTTACAGGACTCCTTCCCGACTTACTGTCCAGAATCCTGGAGGATCTTCAGTCCTTCAGGTGGGATCTGCCTAGTAACGTAAACCCGTGGAAGGGTTGACATGTCCCTCAGTACTTTAGTTGTTGCACCACTGGTAAAACTCAAAGGAGCAACAGCAATCCTCTGTAGCCGACGTAGTGCCATGCGGCTGCTCAACATTGCCAATAACTTGCAGATCTCTGTAAGGCGAGGCGTTTCTTTTGGAGTTTAGAGTTTTGTTGCAGGGAGGCGTTAATTTCTGGCTGCAGTTTAGGGGGAGGTTCCCATGTGTGCTTGACCAATGTGATCAAAGGGAGGATGCCTCAGAGGTTTTGAGGTGAAGGGTAATTTTTTTTTTCCAGACCAAAAGAACACAATATTTGTCCAGATTTCAGTGAAAATGAAATCTATTTGCATTGCAATGGGAATGGAAATCAAAACGGACACAAAAAGATCCGACAATAACACATTTTCAAACAAATATTTGGGTTTGTTTGTTTTTTTTCCCCCCCTAAAACAGTCCACCAAATTGAAGTCAGTCAGATGTAAATGTTTCACTTGACTGTTGACCTTTGTTTCTTTACACAGGAGAGTACCCAAACACATTCAGTTCTCCTGTCCAGCTCACACTGGATCAGTGGTGTCCCCCTAGTCTCCCAAGAGCAGTCTGTAAGACTTATAGTTTGTTTAGAAAGTAGAAACAAACCTATTGAAATAAAAAGAAAACATTTTATTATTGTGCATTAAGAAAATCAAGATGAGGGGACAAAAGCCACATTACAAAATTATATCGATAAAACTTGCAACAAAGGTGTATCATTACAAAAAAACCCATCAGCCTGTTCATTTTTATTTGAGTTCGGAACATGCTAGGTTCTGAACTCAAACATAGCATGTTCTACTTACATGCTACTGACATCGCATGTAAGTAGTACATGCGATGTAAGTAGTATAAACATAAATGGGATACATAGGAAAAGCTTTCATGTCAGGGGTAATGTGTTGCTATTAAACTAGTGGATTTTATGAGAAAGACCAAGGCAAAATTTGGGATATTTGTGAAGTAAATTAACAATATTTGTAATAAATTTTAATTGAAATAATTCGTTTTTGTGATTAAATACTTTATTAAGGATATAGCTCATTTAAATTTTATGGTAAATATAGTTATTTGGTATTAATATAATCATTTCACTTTGCTGTGATACAAGCTGGACAACATGAATTTGTTTGGTCTGTCAGCCACTATCAGCTGTATGTCAGTGTTACACAGACAAGGTGACTGGCCTGTTAATGTGCAGTTTAGCCAACCCAGA